AAACCTAAATACGTAACATTTATTCCGTGAAATACTTGTCTGTGTCACATTAACACATCTACAAATTTACTAACTCAAAGGTAAACTAGTTTCTGTAGTCAGCTTGGGTTGCAGCTCAAGGTTACATTTTTTAAAGGTCATAGATGTCGTTGTCGTTGGTTGGTTTGTTGTTTAACGCCGCACTCAGCAATATTCCAGCTATATGACGGCGGTCTGTAAATAATCGAGTCTGGACCAGACAATCCAGTGATTGACATCATGAGCATCGATCCACGCAATTGGGATCGATGACATGCATCAACCAAGTCAGCGAGCCTGACCACTCGATCCCGTTAGTCGCCTTTTACGACAAGCATAGTCGCCTTTTATGGCAAGCATGGGTTGCTGAAGACCTATTCTACCCCGGATCTTCACGGGTCTCATAGATGTTGTCACTTGGTGGGTCACAGGCTTGGTCCGTGATTCGTTCTGTATTGTTTTCTGGTTTCTGCATGATTTCTGCAGTCATGTTAAATATCCTAGCAACACTGCTGGCCAGTCGACATATTGCTTTATACATGAACGTCTACTGAGAGAACCTTCTGTGCACCGTGTTGCTTAGGGTAAATTAATTGAATTATTACTTCATTTGCGTAGACAATTAAGTGGGATTACTGAGTATTTTAAGCATTGTTGTTTAATTTATTTTGTCGAGCATGATATTATGATACTGCACTGTATTCTGAGGTCATATATTATGATATTGCACTGAATTCTTAGGTGTTTGCCCCCGTTTGGATTCCGGGTTCGAGTAGGTCCCCAGCAATCCATGCTGGTCATTTGAAACGACGAAATGGATCGGGAGGTCAGTCTTGGTGAATTGGATGATTATACGTCATCGTATCCTGACATCTTCCCGCGGCAAAGGTGTTAACTGACTTTATGAGAAAGTCCAGTTTCCACAAAGTCAGTTAACACCTTTGCCGCAGGAAGATGTATCCTGACGGCGTGGATTGTTGCTCAGATCGACCGATTGTCTTGTCCAGACTCAATTATTTACCGACCAAGATCATATAGCAGGGGTATTGCTGATTAAAGCGCTTGAATAATTTTATTACATTTTGAGCATATTGCAGTGCTATAGTGTATAGACATGTGTATGACGTTTCTTTGTTTTTTAACCCCACACTCTGCAATATTCCAGCGAAATGACGGCGATCTGTAAATAATCGAGTCTGGATGTGACAATCCAATGATTGACGTCAAGAGCATCGATCAACGCTCCTTGAAAACGCTGAAATGCTTTAACCTAGCCAGCGAGCCTGATCATCCGATCCCGTTAGTTGCCTCTGACCACAAGCATGGATTTCTTAAGATAACTTCTCACGGGTCTTCATGGGTTACATGTAAATGAAATAGATGTGGTCGCTTATCTTAACAAATTTGTAAATAAATTCAACTTGCGCTACTTTTTTTCTATACCTATAACAGAAGAACCGAGTAACACAAACAGGACTATCCTATCAATAAATGATCTAAATGCGGTGGCACGTGGTCCTGTGCACAGCGCACAGGTCACAAATCAGGTGAAGTTAAGCAACGTCGGTTGCGGAGAGGAGTTGGATGGGTGACAGGGTTTCGGCAGCTTGGATCCTGAGAGCTGCTAGGGATTCGGTCCTGCCCCACACTGAAGTACATGTTAGTTGTCTCCTTGGGCACGTTGCTTTGTTCGAAATGTGCCTCTGTCCACACAGCTGTGAATGGGTACCCGGTAGGATGAAATGGCAATGGCAATGGGTTGTTGACCTTCTAGCGCCTGTTAGACAGCCTGGGTTGTGAATGATTGTTGAGTCCTGTGACCGGGATAATGATAGCGCTTTGAGCATGCCCCTGTGTGATGCACATTATAAATGGCCTGTTGGATTAAGTCTTATCTACGCCAGACCAAGCCAGAGGAGTACATCAAGGGTGTATTCGAGATCAAGTAGCATGTACCAGAGGAGTACATCAAGGGTGCATTCGACATCACATAGCATGGACCAGAGGAGTACACCAAGTGTGTATTCGAGATCAAGTAGCATGTACCAAGTAGCATGTACCAGAGGAGTACATCAAGGGTGTATTCGAGATCAAGCAGCATGTACAAGAGGAGTACATCAAGAGTGTATTCAAGATCAAGTAGCATGTACCAGAGGAGTACATCAAGTGTGTATTCGGGATCAAGTAGCATGTACCAGAGGAGTACATCAAGTGTGTATTCAAGATCAAGTAGCATGTACCAGAGGAGTACATTAAGGGTGTATTCAAGATCAAGTAGCATGTACAAGAGGAGTACATCAAGGGTGTATTCGGGATCAAGTAGCATGTACCAGAGGAGTACATCAAGTGTGCATTCGAGATCAAGTAGCATGTAGAAGAGGAGTACATCAAGGGTGTATTCGAGATCAAGTAGCATGTACCAGAGGAGTACATCAAGTGTGTATTCGAGATCAAGTAGCATGTACCAGAGGAGTACATCAAGTGTGTATTCGAGATCAAGTAGCATGTACCAGAGGAGTACAGCAAGGGTGTATTCGGGATCAAGTAGCATGTACCAGAGGAGTACAGCAAGGGTGTATTCAAGATCAAGTAGCATGTACCAGAGGAGTACAGCAAGGGTGTATTCGGGATCAAGTAGCATGTACCAGAGGAGTACATCAAGTGTGTATTCGGGATCAAGTAGCATGTACCAGAGGAGTACATCAAGTGTGTATTCGAGATCAAGTAGCATGTACCAGAGGAGTACATCAAGTGTGTATTCGAGATCAAGTAGCATGTACCAGAGGAGTACATCAAGTGTGTATTCGAGATCAAGTAGCATGTACCAGAGGAGTACATCAAGTGTGTATTCGGGTTCAAGTAGCATGTACCAGAGGAGTACAGCAAGGGTGTATTCAAGATCAAGTAGCATGTACCAGAGGAGTACATCAAGGGTGTATTCGGGATCAAGTAGCATGTACCAGAGGAGTACAGCAAGGGTGTATTCAAGATCAAGGAGCATGTACCAGAGGAGTACAGCAAGGGTGTATTCGGGATCAAGTAGCATGTACCAGAGGAGTACATCAAGGGTGTATTCGAGATCAAGTAGCACAGCAGCTTTAACTCAAATTACCCACTATACTGTCCCCAATTTGTATTACTAAAAGAAAGAACTATTGCACAAATGAATATGATGAATAATCATGATCATTTTTATCTTCTGAATAAACCAACATATCGGGAACAAAGCACATATTACTCTTAAAAACAAACAGTCATAGTGCTGAGGTCACGTGTTTATATACATGCATACGTCATTGTCCCCGCCGATCCAGTTTCCGACATGTCGCCCATTAACAATTAAAATTAGCGCAGTAGGATATGAGGTTATTCCTATTGCGACCTTCGTTCTCCGAGTTCAAGCCCCGCCAATAAAGACCGATTGTACCTGCCGGAAACACTCACCTGTTGACTAACGACAATAACAATCGACAGCTTGTTGAACTTTTTTTCTGTGTTAAGAAAACACTTCTCATATAAAAGTTGTCCTTGTTGGAAAAGGATATGTGTATTTGATAGACTTAACCTGTTTCGTAAGGCAGGTCAGATCAGCTGAACGTGAGATTTTAGGATAAAGGCAGGATTAACTGTCAGTGACCAGGAACAACAATAGTAGTCTATAAAACTACAAATGCTAATGCGGTTATTTTTGTGATGATTGTCATTTATATCATGTTCATCATCAGCAGCATTGATATAGGCTTCTTTATTATTATCATAATATCATTATCTCGAATATCTTGATGTACTCCTCTGGTACAGCAATAATGTGTATCATCAAAAGAATGTTTTTCATTACCATTGTTATCACGATAATCATGACAGTCATCATTGTTGTAATTCTCATCGATCAGCATCATCATCGTTATCATTTTCATCATCATTACAATCAGGATTATAACGATCATCTAATAATTGCCATCGTTGTCATAACTTAAATTATCATTTCATTATCATAATTCTGATTTTCACCATTTCCATAAAAATCATCATTATCATTCTAATCAAAATTATTATTTTCACTATTACAATAAAGATCACCACTATTATTCTAATCATAATTATGAGCATCGTTATTACTTTAATTATGATTACTATTATCCTTAATACGTCATCATTTCATAGCTGTGCTATATTTATAATTAACACTGTAATAATAATGACCACCGCAATCGTCCTTATGACTATCATCATATTTTAGCAATGTTAAAACTGGCGGACTAATTTATAAACTCATTTCAAAGTAACCCGTTTTTAAGATCTGTCATTTTCTTTCGCATTTCAGCCTTGATTTAGTATGGGAGTGTCCCCCCTAAAGTGACACTTAAATGAGGTATTGGTTCCCATGACTTATCCCGTTGATGAGGAAGATGAAATCAAGAAACATCCGCATCAGTACGCAGGTACATAAACATTGTTCTCCCAGACAAATAGGCTTCATATCACGCTTTGATTGGTGTACCTGGCGTCTCGCTTGCGACGAGTGTTATTATCATCAGTTTGTTTTGCTTTTCCATATTATTTGTGATTATTTTCCATTGCAAAATTTCTGATATAAAAATTTCACATGAATAAGAAAAAGGGCTAAAAGTAAAATTGATATGTTTATTTCTTAGTATTCATTTAGATTATAAAAACCTGAAGATGTCATAAACGTAAATTAAATCGAAACGAAAGATTGTTCAAGAATGAGAAACCTTCCAACCCCATCTATCATACATTAAAGGTTACAGAGGACCGAAAACAACATCAGGTTGATGTATACAGATCTATATAGCGCCCATGTACGACAGGCGCCGTACAGGACGTACATTTGTCTCACATGCATGTACACTTAACAGGCCCGCCTTGGCACGCGACACCTCCGTTCTCATTGGCCGTAGCTGTAGAGTACGGTGACACAGCTAAAACGACCGGGAATTCTCACAAGTACGGAGAATTCCAGCGTGTATGTAAGAAGCAGAAGAGGCAATGATAACGTACAGGTTGTGATGGGTTGAGTGCTGGGGTCGGATTCAGAAGCCAGGTCGCTGTTGTGCAGCTGTATCTCAGTCGAGACCGGGCGTTGAAGAGGGGAGAGGTGCGATTGGCTAACGTCGGGAGTGATTGACGTCCCTTCGCTGTTCTTGATAAGAGGAGGTTTGCGAAGGGGGTAAGGGGGCTTATAAAATATCGGATTCCTCTCGCAATATGCAGAAACGATGAGTTTAACTCACTCACGCGTGTTGCGGTAGGCTTTTAGCTGATCAGCTGGTGGAATACATCTGAGGAAAGACGTGAGAAACTCGCCTGCACCAAACTGCAAAAGGAACGCTTTACTTACTAAGAGTCATCTTTATATCCAGCCTGTGGCAGCTCGCACCTACTGGTATCACGCTGGCCACCGGTCAAGCACGTGGAAATGAGATTTGTCTTTTGGATTGTCGTGTTTAGCACCTGTCTACTCGGGGCTACAGGTAAGGTGGCTATCCTTCTATTCACAAGCGTTATGCACATTTCGCATAAAAAATCACATAACTAAGCTGATGTAATACTGTTTTTTTCCTTTTCATGTACGTCAGAATATATCAGATGTACAATAAATATTTTCTTTGTCATTGCCAAGCTGAATATATCTTATGGATAGTTTAAGAGTATATGCGCGTTTAACGCCACTGACGCAAGGTTTCCTCTCGTACTTTAGACTTTACAACGTAACAGAACAAGAGTATGTTAGTGGCACGGCAGAAAACCCTTTATTTGTAAACATCCCAACGAAGGCCGTTCACATCACATGTGGTATTACTCACGCGCACTCCTCTCGGAATGCAACGGTCTTTACTGGTTATTCCACATCCCCACACGGTGATCTCGTGTGAGAAATTATGTCAGTATCTTTAACGTGACCAACAGTCTTTGGTCTTAAATAATTAACCCACTTATATCTTTTATGTACATGGCTATAGTTTGGAAGGACAATTTGTCTTTTTGACATATGGTCTCAGCGTTACTTGCGGAATGGCAAAACCATCGCAGTGTCGTCGAGCAAGTGACTGGATTAACATGTGTGTGCCTTCTAGGCTAACTCCAATAACCTAGGAATTCGTTTCCATGATGAGGATCTAACATTTTATACGCCCTCTTGTGTGAACTTTAGCTTTTATTTGTTGAATTTAATTTTCGAGCATTTCGTCATTGAGAGAATAATGTCATGAAAGGGATAGAGTAATAAAAGGACAAGCAAAGTTTAAAGTATGTCAATTCGATATAGACTAACCCGTGAAGATCAAGGTTAGAATAGATCTTCAGAAACGAACGGTTGCTGTGAAAGGCGACCATGCTTGTCGTAAGAGGCGACTGACGGGATCAGGTGGTCAGGCTCGCTGACTTGGTTTGATGGCTGTCAGCGTATCCCAATTGCGTGATATCTATCACTGGAGTGTCTGGTCAAGATTCGATTATTTACAGATCACCGTGATATAGGTGGAATATTGCTGAGGGTGGCGTTAAACAATAAACAAACAAACAAACAACCAAACAAATATATTAACTCGATATGTCCACCTGTCAATCAGTCTATGCTATTATGTTTAGATGTATGTTTCGTAACATATAAAACTATATTCACGTATACTCTGTGACTTAACACTATTTTTATTTTATATTGACACATATTTGTAAGATAATGCTTCAACCACGCGGAAGTGTAAATGTCTACAACTCGTGTCTATTTTCGGCCAACTTCACGTGTGCAGTAAATGCAGAGAAATATATTTTTTGTGCTATTAAAAGGTTGACGGGTGATTGCGTGATGTAACTATGTGATTGCCTGATACATCACTCCACCAGTGGCGTGAGATAGGTGTAAACATTGGTCAATCAGTCAAAAGTGCGCTCGGTGAACGTAAACACGTGGGCGTGGCTTATTGAGCAACCAGGAAGATGAGTGACAGGCGAAATGCACAACTCCATTACAGAGCTGATCTCGTGTAATTTCACGACTGACTAGAAACCATGTCACTGTGTTAGGAGAGCTCCTCTGTCAAGGCCGCAACCGCGTTTCATGTAAACAGCGCAGTTTTAACTCGCTCACACATTTGTTTCGTGCAAGGACTTGGTCAACTTGAGACGGCGAAGCCTCCTCTATCGCTCCACGTGAAGTAGACTATCGCGGGGAAAACATTGTTTTGTATTGATTACGGTCGAGGTGTTCCGAGCCTACGCTCACGTTAAAGGGGATAGCGCTGTTCCTGTATAATATATAATTAATTTTCTTGTAACGTTTCTCTACTCTTCAATAACATGAATATGCTTTATGGAGTTTTTTTTGTAGATTGTCGGTAGCTTATACTTGCTTCAGGGCCAGTGGTTAAAGTGTTCGCTCGTCTCGCCTGAAACCCGAATTCGATTACCATGATTCCTCTGCTATGATATTTATGGGGTATTGTAAACGGACGTAAAACCTAACCCGCTCTCTTAATGGGCTTCTAATCAGTTTATATCATGCTTGATTTGTAATCGTTTATGTGTTCCCATTTACAGGTAGTCTTGTATCATTACTCCTTCCCTTGTATTCTCTTAACCGGCATTTTAGCATGTTAATACTATATTGTCGTGTAGATAGTGCTACAAGGTAATGGGGCGGTGGGGTAGCCTAATGGTTAGTGCGTTCGCTCTTCACACCGTAGACTGGGTTCGATTCCTAACATGAATACACTGTGTGAAGCCCATCATCCATGTCACCCACCTTCTTAAAGTTACGGGGCGGTCGGATAGCCTAGTGGTTAAAGCGTTCGCTCGTCACGCCGAAAACCCGGGTTCGATTCCCGATATGGGTACAATGTGTGAAGCCCATTTCTGGTGTCCCCCGCCGTGATATTGCTGGAATATTGCTAAAAACGGCGTAAAACCTCACTCACTCACTCTTCAACTTACCTTATTGATAAAGGCGGCAGACCATGGATGTGGGATGTGAAAGAATTTTGCGTCACTGTTATGGGGAAGCCTTAAAGACGTCTCGTCCCGCCAAAGGCTTGGGTTCGATCCACTACATCGGTAGAAAGCATGACGCCCATTTCTGGTAACCTCCCCCTTCCCCGTAATATTGCTGAATTATTGCTAAAATGGCGTAAAACATTTGCTTATTCACTGTTCACAGCTAATGTGCTGTTCAGGCCTAATTTTTGTTATGGAACGGTGAAAGGCACTTCACTTCACCAAGAAGCAGTGTGTTGAAGGGTTTCACGCTGTTCTGAATAATCTGAAAGCAGTTCGATCTCTTTTAGGAAATATGTCATAGGTATTACCTAGAGCCAGTTCACTACAGGGATCAGAAGATCCTCACATGGCATGATCAGTGAGTGAGTGAATCTAACGCCGCGTTTAGCATTATTTCACTTTCATCGGTACTAATCTTCAATAGACGCAGTTTTTTGGCGTTTACCACTTGGCGAAATCCACAATAATGGCTCTGACACACCAAGGTACCTGATCTTGAATCAGCGGATCCTGTCTGCACAGCTAATTGCGGTGCCTTAGAACCCTGTCCCACATCGAGTATAAGATTTACCCTCAACATGACACGGCACTTGTCATTGATGTTATCCGAACGTATCTCAACATCTTTCAATACTGGATTTGAGTCGGAGGATATGTCATCTCACAATCACTGCGGTTTGAATAAATACTGATTGTGATGATGGTTATGAAAAGCTCATAGTCACAATCGGCGCCATGTTCCAATTCGACAAAGCGTTCTTAGTGCTACTTGCGATGTATATTATTTTATGATTCGTGGGACGGGTCCCAGGCAGATTTGTAGAACCTGTTAGAGCCTGGGATAAAGGCTTTAAGAAGGGTATGTTTAAACTTGAGTATGCCTAATTCGAATCGCTGTCAATACCGGGCCAAATGTATGTTCTCTAGGTTAATTTGTCAAAAAACATCTTCATACTCCTGTAAATGTATTGCAATAGGAACCATCTCTTGGAGCTTGGCCTAACACCCGGGACAGAATAGTCTAAGACTCCGCAGGTTTGCATCCCTTGGACATGCCAGGATTGCGCGCTTGAGGGTTTTACCAAAGTGGTAAACGTCAACGACTTGCTTTGATTTCGATTCACATTAAACTGACACGCCGTCCAGTAACGGAAATACTGATCAAAGCGATCTTAAACCAACTCATTTTCTTTTGTTTGTTTCAGTGGACAGTGTGATTATTGACCAGTACCGCAAGTGGAGGATGACATACCAAGAGGTTCGACCTGACAAAACTGATATAAATACAAAAGCCAAGATACAACACAAAGGTCGAGTTGCCAAGAACTTCGCTCCGAACGGCAATAGATGTTGTAAGGTTGGTGAGAAAACAGCCAAGAAGAGGCTCTCGTGCAGCAGTGTGGGCATGTATGCTGCAGCACGTGCATTTAACAATTATGCGCCAAAATCAAAAATCCATTTACGTAATGGAAGAAAGTTTCCCAAAGTACTGACAGCAAAAATAAGAAAGTGCTCTAAAGAGTTTTCCAAAAAGTTTGAAAAGTGTTGTAAAATGAAAGCCGAATATTACCGTCATATGAAAAAATGCAGGCGCCTGAGTCGATCTGAACGGAAAAGATGTAGAGACTTGACGAAGCGCCGTTACAGATCCTGAAGGACTATGACGGGTGTATTTTTGTACTTAAAAACTATTTATGTCCTTTGAAAGGATCAGACGATACAGGTATGACATGGGTATGTGTACATTCACCGATTCCACCACCAGTCTTACGGTGCTCTCTCTCTCTCTCTCTCTTAGTACGTATCATTCCCCCCCCCCCCCCCCCCCCCCCCCCTCCCCCTCGCTCCAGGACTTACCCACGTGTACCCCCCTCATATGGACCAATATTGTGAAATAGGTCAGCTCACCCCAAGCATTTACAGCTCCATGGAAATGTGTTGGCGGTTGGATCATTATTGTATGGCCCGCCGCCGTCTGATATAAGCGACAAGATTGCTTAACCCAACTCTTGTCAATCATTCCTCGTCCATCTATAACATCATCGTTCACCTTTTATAGCCAGTCCTCGGCCAAATATATCGTAACGTGGTGTCAAGAAAAATACACGACATGAACATTCCCCCCCTCAGCGGTGGCAATGTGACGTCATCACTGACGTCATCGTGATGTCATATTCGCCACCTTCAGCAGAGACTCGTGAACAGTGTCCAGTAAGGAGTTAAGGACATGGAAGGTGTTGTTCTCAAGCATTACATCCACGTTCCTTCCTATCATTCACATAGATTCATAGACCAACCTGCACTCATCACAGGCTTAAACCAGAGGGCTGTACGACCGAGAGCGTGTTGCTACAATGGTGGTGGCGGCCGATGGCGAGGTTGCCGTCCTCATCAAGGGGCCACAGGTGGATGAATTATTTATGTTTCCCGAACTCTGTCGAGCCGATAAAATACGACGTCAGTTTGTGACGCGTCTATGACGTTAGTGTCACGTGACGTAACCCGCCTGCTCTGTGTGTAATGGGGCAAGCGACCAGGCGATCAATGGCTGTGTAGTAGGTGTCGCTGTGCCTACGTTGTCATCTCGGCGAGGTCGACGTCTCTTCCTGCTGCTGCTGCTGTTGCTCCTGCTATTGTGTACATAAGCATATTACAACAAACACTGGGTACTGTGTGTTCTAGCCATAGACAAATGGTTTATATATTTTTTTCTGTTTTGTTGAAATTCTATCTTGTTTATTTGTTATTATAAGGTGATAATAAAGACATAATATAGAAAAGAAATATAATATAAAAAGAAAGTTTTGTCTTGTTACTGCCAGAGACCATTGTGAGGCCAACGCTACGAACATTCTTCGGATCTTTCATCCCAAAATGAGGAAATGAAGAACGATTTATTGCTTTAAGTGGCCGAGTAATACTGAAAAGTATTCCTGGGCACGTACCAATATCCCAATCGGTGTTAAGATATTGCTGATTTACGATTTCTACAATATGGAGTTTATTACGAACCTGATATGAGCAGAAAAACACAACAAAAAACGTGTATAGTGTATTTGATTTAGATGCATTTTGTTTCACCTTAATGTGGACGTATCCCCGCGGTGTTCAATATATATAAATACTCATGCCATGATGTGATAAATAAGTCGTTGTATGTTTGACATAAGTAATAAAAACAATCATTCCTTTTTCTGATTACCCGTAGTATTGATGTAAAACAAAACGTCACTCCTGATTACCATTCCATTGAAATTATCCCGATAAACATATCATGGCTACGGATTCTTGTCTTTTTGTATGTATGATATATGTTTTCCGAGAAGTAATCGCCTGGAAGGAGTTTCCAGATTAACGGGGTCTGCATTGACGAGGGTTACAGTACAGTGATTATAGATTAACATCTAGTCTCTGAAATGATCATATTTTACAGAAAAAAACAGTTGTTAAATTATAGTTAAAAAATATAATAAAAAGAAGCCCAGAGACTTTCTTCATATTGGATACATTTGTTTCAGGGTCTGTATCACAGACTAGGAACTACATCAAAAACAGAGTCTCATTTACAAACAAGTGATTCTTAAAAATCTAGAAAATACCTGAAGACATTGTTCCAGGTTATACCAAAAAAATAAATTGTTCGATGGACAGGCGGGATTTCCTAAAAGATATTTGTTGCAAAAGTTGTTCACCACTTCAATAAGAGAAACAATATATATACATAATTATGTCTCAAACACGTGAGGGTCGGTCGGGTAGCCTAATGGTTAAAGCGTTCGCTCGTCACGCCAAAGACCTGGGTTCGATTCCCGACATGGGTACAATGTGTGAAGCCCATTTCTGGTGGCCACCACCGTGATTTTGCTGGAATATTGCTTAAAGCGGCGTAAAACCAAACTCACTCACTTACTCACTCACTCACTCACTCAAACACGTGACCTAAAACATATTCTGTCGCAAAAAGGAATCCCAAAATACCGCTGTTATTGATCAGTACACGTGCAAATGCCCACCTAACAGTTAATTGCACGTCAGTCAACAACCTTAATTTATAGCAGTATTCTCAAAACGGCTGAAAATGTCTATGGCCACGAAACAGTTGTGTAGTGCAAACATTATGCATATTTTGACAGCCGGGTGAGAATATTATGTAAAGCTCGTGCCAATCTGGCCTCAAAGGTATTCTCGTGAATGTCAAGGCCGGAGGTGACAAGGGCGACTACTCTCAAAGGAAGGGAGATAAGTAGTGCCAGAAGTGGAATTCACTCCCAAAAGGTATTACTGACATTATGTAAACCACTTCCTTGGTACTGTGCACAGACGAAATGTACATTTTTTTAGTAATTGATCTTGCCATGTGCTGGCATCTGTGAGATCTGGGTTTGGGATGCTGGGTATGCCTGCCCGGGCGAGGTGCCAGATCCGCTGTTTTAGCCCCGACCAGCTGGTAACGTAATGAGAGTTCTTGCATTGCAGTATCGTAACACTAATATTGTTAGCCTTGGCCCCATACGGCCGTGGAACGACAGCTATTTCGGTAAAAATATTACCCGCATCTAGGTGATGGGAACACTTGTGGTACAGATTCTTGGTAATAGGATCGTTTCAACACGGTATAAAACACAAAAAGATGTAGTTAAATAGAAGCACGAGAGATACATTTTCCAAAACAGACAGATTTTAGAAACTACATGTAAATCATGTTTATAAAGACTTCTTTTTTGCCTAGGACTGCGCATGCTATTTCAAAAACTTAGATTGAATAACAGATATATAATAGTTTGCTGAATTTGTACAGGGTGTTCGAACCCTTGTTTTATTGATATGATTGTTTATTGTCTACGATGACAAGTTTTATCCATATCAGAAGACATATCTGCTAAAATACTGCAGAGCATCTCTCAGTGTTTTGCGTGTTGCCTCCATGTAACATGCAGTAGGAGAAGTGAATCCATGTAACGTGCAGTGTGAGAAGTGAATCGATGTAACGTGCAGTGTGAGAAGTAAATCCATGTAATGTGCAGTGTAAAAAGTGAATTCATGTAACGTGCAGTGTGAGAAGTGAATTCATGTGACGTGCAGTGTGAGAAGTGAATCCATGTACCATGCAGTGTGAAAAGTGAATCCATGTGACGTGCAGTGTGAGAAGTGAATCCATGTAACGTGCAGTGTGAGAAGTAAATCCATGTAATGTGCAGTGTAAAAAGTGAATTCATGTAACGTGCAGTGTGAGAAGTGAATTCATGTGACGTGCAGTGTGAGAAGTGAATCCATGTAACGTGCAGTGTGAGAAGTGAATCGATGTAACGTGCAGTGTGAGAAGTGAATCCATGTAACGTGCAGTGTGAGAAGTGAATCCATGTAACATGCAGTGTGAGAAGTGAATCCATGTAACACGTATTGTGAGAAGTGAATCCATGTAATGTGCAGTGTGAGAAATGAATTCATGTAAGGCGCAGTGTGAGAAATGAATCCATGTAACGTGCAGTGTGAGAAGTGAATCCATGTAACATGTATTGTGAGAAGTGAATCCATGTAACGTGCAGTGTGAAAAATGAATCCATGTAATGTGCAGTGTGAGAAGTGAATCCATGTAGCGTGCAGTGTGAGAATTGAATCCATGAAACGTGCAGTGTGAGTAGTAAATCCATGTAACGTGCAGTGTGAGAAGTGAATCCATGTGACGTACAGTGTGAGAAATGAATTCATGTAACGTGCAGTGTGAGAAGTGAATCCATGTTACATGTATTGTGAGAAGTGAATCCATGTAACATGTATTGTGAGAAGTGAATCCATGTAACATGCAGTGTTAGAAATGAATTGATGTAACGTGCAGTGTGAGAAGTGAATCCATGTAATGTGCAGTGTGAGAAGAGAATCCATGTAACGTGCAGTGTGAGAAATGAATTCATGTCACGTGCAGAGTGAGAAGTGAACCCATGTAACGTGCAGTGTGAGGAATGAATTCATGTTACGTGCAGTGTGAGAAGTGAATTCATGTAACGTGCAGTGTGAGAAATGAATTCATGTAACGTGGAGTGAGAAATGAATTCATGTAACGTGCAGTGTGAGAAGTGAATCCATGAAATGTGCAGTGTGAGAAGTGAATCCATGTAACGTGCAGTGTGAGAAGTGAATCATGTAGCGCAAGGTGAGGGAAGTAAATCCATGTAGCGTGATGTAACGTGCAGTGTGAGAAGTGAATCCATGTAATGTGCAGTGTGAGAAGAGAATCCATGTAAAATGCAGTGTGAGAAATGAATTCATGTCACGTGCAGAGTGAGAAGTGAACCCATGTAACGTGCAGTGTGAGGAATGAATTCATGTTACGTGCAGTGTGAGAAGTGAATTCATGTAACGTGCAGTGTGAGAAATGAATTCATGTAACGTGGAGTGAGAAATGAATTCATGTAACGTGCAGTGTGAGAAGTGAATCCATGAAATGTGCAGTGTGAGAATTGAATCCATGTAACGTGCAGTGTGAGAATTGAATCCAAGTAACGTGCAGTGAGGGAAGTAAATCCATGTAACGTGCAGTGTGACAAGTGAATCCATGTAACGTGCACTGTGAGAATTGAATCCATGTAACGTGCAGTGTGACAAGTGAATACATGTAGCGTGCAGTGTGAGAAGTGAATCCATGTAACGTGCCGTGAGGGAAGTAAATCCATGTAGCGTGCAGTGTGAGAAGTGAATCAATGTAACGTGCAGTGATGGAAGTAAATCCATGTAGCGTGCAGTGTGACAAGTGAATCCATGTAACGTGCGTGTGAGAAGTGAATCCATGTAACGTGCAGTGTGAGAATTGAATCCATCTAACGTGCAGTGAGGGAAGTAAATCCATGTAACATGCTGTGTGACAAGTGAATCCATGTTACGTCGCTTGTGAAAAGTGAATCCATGTAACTTGCAGTGTGACAAGTAAATGCATGTAACGTGCAGTGTGAGAAGTGAATCCATGTAACGTGCAGTGTGAAAAGTGAATCCATGTAACGTGCAGTGTGAAAAGTGAATCTATGTAACGTGCAGTGTGAGAAGTGAATCCATGTAACGTGCAGTGAGGGAAGTAAATCCATGTAGCGTGCAGTGTGACAAGTGAATCCATGTAACGTGCAGTGTGAGAAGTGAATCCATGTGACGTGCAGTCTGAGAAGTGAATCCATGTACCATGCAGTGTGAAAAGTGACTCCATGTAACTTGCAGTGTGACAAGTGAATTCATGTAACGTGCAGTGTGAGAAGTGAATCCATGTAACGTGCAGTGTGAAAGTGAATCCATGTAACGTGCAGTGTGAGAAGTAAATCCATGTACCATGCAGTCTGAGAAGTGAATCCATGTAACGTGCAGTGTGAGAAGTGAATCCATGTAACATGTATTGTGAGAAGTGAATCCATCTAACGTGCAGTGTTAGAAATGAATTGATGTAACGTGCAGTGTGAGAAGTGAATCCATGTAATGTGCAGCGTGAGAAGGGAATCCATGTAACGTGCAGTGTGAGAAATGACTTCATGTCACGTGCAGAGTGAGAAGTGAACCCATGTAACGTGCAGTGTGAGGAATGAATTCATGTTACATGCAGTGTGAGAAGTGAATCCATGTAACGTACAATGTGAGAAATGAATTCCTGTAACGTGCAGTGTGTGAGTAAGATTCATGTAGCGTGCAGTGTGAAAGGAAGACACGTGATATGCTTGATAGTGTTTGTGTGAGAGCTGATGCATACCACTACCCCAGACACGTGTTTTTTGAGAGTGGGTACACAGAGCTACCCCAGACACGTGTTG